ACCAAATCTGATGTTGACAACCTCCGGGATTTCCTCAATTATGAAAAAGTGTAAGCTTCCGATTTTGTCATCTTGGTCTCGGATTATATACCACTTGGCGTTGTGACTGGCAGAATCTGAAAGCATACGGATACGTAACGTCTGTTAGCAAATGAATAATCTGGACAATTGCTTCATTTTATCGATCTAGACGTACTGACTATTGACAATAATCTTGGACTGTAATCACTAGTGCACAATCCAATCAAATGGCTACATTCCTTGTTTATTAATACCAAGGTTTAAGACGTTATTCGTAATAGTTTGACATTGTGAAGATGATTGACAAGGTCTTGTACTTTCTTTCTTTTTTCATATGATCTTCTTTCTTTCTATTTTTCTCGTTTCTAATTCACATGACCGACTGCATGGTTCTTCTCTTGTTTCGTTTCATATCATAAAGAGAATTGTGGCTTGGTTTGAACTGGAACAGCGCAGTTGGTAACTATGAATGGTCGACAGGAGAACAAATTCCGGTTGCCAATTGGTGTGATGAGCCGGACTATAGATCCAGCAATCAAGCGTGCGTCACGTGGGATAAAAAGTGCATGAAATCCATCACATGTTCCAGTACCCGACAATACTTCTGCTTCAACACGAATAATGGTAATATGAATGAATGAAGGGAGGAAGAAGTGGAATGAAGGGAAAAGAAGGAAGGATGGAAGGGAGAAAGGGTTGAGTGAGAGACGGAGGCAAGGGGCAAGGACAGCAGAATGAATGATTGAACGAACGAACGAGCGAACGAGGAAAGAGATCGAACGAAAAACGCACGAGCGAACGAGGACAGGGAATGATTGAACGAATGCACGGGCGAATGAGGAATGATAACTGCTGAATAAATAATCATTTTATTTTCCAGCATTATGAATACAAGTACTGTATACAGCTGGGATGACGTAACACTTTTTGGAGGTCAGAAGGACGAGCAATGTGCAAAATTCTTCGAATATCAGCACAATACCATTCTGACGGTCTTCCCGACTTACATTCATATACATATTGAAGGTGGTTGTTTAGTAAAGGTGGTCGCATGAGCAGGATTCACTGTATTATATTTTATTATTTCCAGCTCCTGGTTACATCATAGTCTCTAACAGTGTGGATTATTTTACCGCCAAAAAGGCATGTGACGACAATGGCGGCCATTTACCAATGATTAGAACAATGAAAGAAAAAGAGGATTTGATCAATTTCGCAAATTTGCATGGTGTAAAGTAAGAGTTAAAAACTTTTATGACAGGATGTTAAAAGTACCGTCTGGTTCTGTCTAATAATTCGACATAAATTGGTCGGTTGAGGACATTCTCTTTACTTTCATTCGCCCAATGAGGCGGGGCAAATAGGGCATAAACAAATCATAGTATGCTGCATTATACAATAAGATGCAAATGATTTTGTTGTCCAATGATGTGCAACTGATTTTGTTGCCGTATGGCAACATGCTTACTCTTTTCGAAACACCTGATGGTACTTCTCTTGAGAGGAGTGCACCACTATACAACTTTTGCTCTCGATTTTGCCATACTTTGTACTAGATTTTGATTAATCATTAATAGAATTGTCTTGCTAGCACAGAGTTTTATTACTGTAGTATGTTTTTTAAAAGAATTGAAACTCTCATTAATTTGGATGGTTCTGTTTCAGTAGAGTATGGTTAGGAGGCGAGGAAGTGGCTGAAGATTATATCAAGTGGTTATCGGGAGAGGAATTTCCGGTTCACATCTGGCATGATAATAAAGAGTGGGAAGATTTTGAAAAATACCCCGAGGTTCATGTTCATGTTGAACGCGATTCACTCAAGTTTCACGCCGATCGGGATAGAACTGTGGAGTTTGTTTGTGAAACCGTGGAGGGTAAGTAATGCACAAGTAATCTTGTGTGAGAGTTCTCGCCAGCTTCATAAAAACAGGAATTGTGGCCTCATTCCATCTTCCATTGCTTTACAATACGTTAGACGAAACATCTGACATCAGCCTCTGATAGATATTTGACAGTTATCGACAAACTAGACCCTATTTTCCAATGATGCGTTTTTCGTGAAAAAATATGTCTACCTATGAACAAAGACTCACTTTAACCAAGTTTAAAAAGTTCAATTATTTGGACATTCTAAGAGGTAGTATACCTTAAAGGATCATTCTATCTTTGCAGCGCAAAGAGATGACGAGCCCATAATTTTTGTTTTCTTTTATTACAGAGCCGAGGAATGCTGGATATTTTGTTCATGTAGCTGATAACATGCAAACATGGGCGTTACCTCTGGCAGAGCTAACAGTCACCAAGAAGATGCGATGTGCAATGGAATGTTCTAAATCTCTCCGTTGTAGGAAATATACTATAAAGCTCTCTGTGTGTACATTGTACAAGGATGTACTGTTTCATTCGAGTGGTTCTGGAAATGGTGAATCACTTTGGATTAAAGTGTTTTAGGTCAAAGATTAACTTGGTTTGTCCATGAACTATATTTAAAGAGTGTCTTCACACCATAGCGACCACAAGTATGGTTGCGAATAACAAAGTGGCCATGAGTTGCATGAGAGTTGCATTCAAAATATATGACCGCTATTCTCATATCCATCTGGTCCACTTTAGTGCCACTGAACCATTGAGTCGTTGTGTGTGTTAATAAATATATATATCTAAAAAATAAATGAATATGTAGATTAATCAATTAAGAAATAAGTTATTTGCTCAGAAAGTCAGTCAGTCACTTGAACAATGATACATTTGTGAGGGTCTGAAAGGGCACGAGTTTAATCAAATTATCTCCCTTGGTAAAATGCTGCCACTGTGCTCTCCCCCTCCGCTTCCATTTGCTTAAACGAATTATCCCCATTTCGTAAGTTAAGAGCTATCAGCCGCTGTAAATCATAAAGGAATTGTAAAAAATTGGGAACATGATATGATGCGAATGAAGGAAAAAGAGAACATGTATCTCTAAAACAATTGAGAACATGATATTATGAAATTGTAAACAAATAAGAACATGATTGAATAAAGCTGTGAGCATTTGAGAACATGATATCTAGATGTTATGTTGAAGACGCTTGAAAACATGATGTAATGCGGATGAGGCAATCACGAACATGATTCGTGAAATTGTAACATGATATTATGTAGAGGTTGTGAACAATTGAGAACACGATAAGATAGATATTATGGACAATTGAGAACATAATAATATAAAGGGTTTTAGACGATTGAGAACACGATGTTATAGACATTATTATAGACAATTGAGAACATAATATTATAAAGAGTTTTAGACGATTGAGAACACGATGTTATAGACATTATTATAGACAATTGAGAACATAATATTATAAAAGTGTTTAGAACACGATGTTATAGATTGAGAACATGATATTTTGAAGGTGTTGCAGTCAATTGAGAATATGATATATTAATGTGGATGGAGGCAATCGAAAAACATGAAATAAAAAAATTGACAAATGAGAACATGATTCATGAAGATGTAGGCAATTGAAAACATAAAATATTAATGATGGGTTCCCTTATTTTAATTTATGAAAATGAAAATGCTTATACTTATATGAATAGAAAGTAGAGGTTTTCTAATGACTTGGAAAAATACCAGTTTGTCTCGCATGTCCACAATTGATTCTTAATTAGCTAAATTAGAAGAGAATTACCAACATAATTCCAATGAGTGACCGATCAAGACAGTTCAAAAAGTCTTTTTTGTTTTGTTTACCCAGACTGTACATACATGTACATTTATGATTGATTAAAACTATTAATTATTTACAATAAGAACATAATGATATGATTAAGAATACATGATAATTCATTAGAAACACCAATTAATCAAGTAGTTTGCTTAATTTAACACTAAAAAATAAAGAAACCCATCTTTAAAACTGTAAAACATTGAGAACATAATACGTAATTTTTTTATTATGAAGGAATTTGTTATTTAAGAGATGCTGCAGTATATATAAAATAAAATAACATATTATTTCAAAGATATAAAAGGAAACTGTCAACATGATTATATGTAGGTGAAGTAGACAATCGGAAATTATACTGGTATTGCATATTATTTCTTACAATATTGCCCAATAATTTGACTCAATATAAAGTTATTTTAAAATTGTAAGTGGTACAAATGAACTCTAAGAGTGTGGACACACGAACAGACTTGGTCACCGATTTTTGTCGCCGACTATAGTCTTGTTAAGAGTTTCACCGGCTGCGGGCACGGCACTCTGGAAGAATAAAAAATATCCAGTCGGTCGTTTTCCACTACGTACAGGAAAGGAAATGAAACTGATTGGATGACGGCGCTTTGTCTTGCAGTCGATAAAACAATCGGCGACAAATATCAAGCTGGTTTGATGTTATAAATCCTGTCGGCAAAGCGATAGTCTTGTCGTGGAAACGCACGAGAGATTTTACTAAAGATTCGAGTCGGCGACAAATATCGGCGACTAAGACTGTTGGTGTGCCCAGACCATAAGAAGAGTATTATTCATTTTGAATTGATCTTCTTTGAAACATTCTCTGCAAGTCTTTGAATAATATTAGTTTTTATGTTATTTATTCAGATAAATGATCGAAAACATGCATTAGCAGGAAGTTAAGCAAGTCTGTGTTTATAAAAGCCGACCGTGGGAGCTTTGCTCGCATTAAAATCCAAACTTGGACGACCGTTGTCATGAGCAATAAATGTACTTTGCAGACTGCCAGAGTTTGAAAGTGGTTTGCTAACAATTTCAGATTTAAACAGGCGGTCTTTTGATCAAGTTCAAATTTGGCAGTGAAAGTGGTTTGAAAGTGGTTTAGAAACAATTTTTCAGATTTGGACAAACGATCGCTGAATAGCACCATAATTGACGTGCTTATCGTGACTCGCTACGGGAATTTATAGTTCTTGCTCAGAAAAGCGATAGCAAGGATAAACTGTTTGATCCAAGATACATGGTCATCGAAAAGTTTTCACATGGTAATTGGTCACAGGTAACGCGGTTACAGGTAAATTGGTCACAGGCGAATGGTAAATTTGTCACATAGTGAGTTGGTCACATGATAAATATGGTCAGAGACAAATTGGTCATGTGATTACATGGTCACAAGCAAATTTACAAATTGGTCATATAGTAAGTTGGTCACAGGCAAATCGGCCACACTGTTAAAATGGTCACATAGTAAGTTGGTCACACACAAATTGGTCACATAGTAAGTTGGCATTTATCTTGTGACCATATCACCGTGACCAATCTCACTGGTAACCATATTACTGCGACCAATTTTCTGTTAAACCATTTGACTGTGGATCTATTTCTATAGAGATAAATAAGAAATTTGTTCATCAGTGTATATTGATGATATAAGTTTCGCTTCTTTGTTAACAAACACAGAAAGAGGAAACTCGACAGCAGATATTAACTGTAGCTCACAGACAGATTCTAACATGAAGTTTGAGATTGTGATATTTATGGTTGTATTTCCTGGATATCTTCAAGCGGGTAAATATAGAATAGAGATAGAATAGAATAGAATAGAAATAGAATAGAATAGAATGGAATAGAAATAGAAATAGAAATAGAAATAGAAATAGAATAGAATAGAATAGAATAGAATAGAATAGAATGGAATAGAATGGAATAGAAATAGAATAGAATAGAATAAAATAGAATAGAATAGAAATAGAAATAGAAATAGAAATAGAATAGAATAGAATAGAATAGAATAGAATAGAATAGAAATAGAAATAGAATAGAATGGAATGGAATGGAATGGAATGGAATGGAATGGAATGGAATAGAATAGAATAGAATAGAGAACAATTGCTGTCAGTTATAAGAACACAAGTTTATTAAGATCACCCTATGATATTCTGCGACAGGATTTGTCACCATGGCAGCTCTTTCATTTACTCCTATTTGGTTTTTGTAAAATTAAATGGTATTATTAACTTCACCTAGCATCAGATGAACTTATAAACCGATGTAAATGTATTTTCAGAAAGTAATTTTGTGTATAGAAGCAACTATAAGAGATTTAATGAAGCTGTAGAAGATTGTAATAATCGAGGTTTAGAATTATTAACATTGTCAACATATCGTCAGTATCTAGATGCTCAGGAGAATTTCGATACCAGTTCAGTAACTTCACAGTGAGTTTTGGTTTGCTAAATGTTTTAAAGGTCAGATGGATGTTGTCTAGACATACTGTATGTTCATCTAAGGAAGCCATCATTTGAATGGGGAGCCTTGGTGGCTCAGTAAGTTAGACTCGCACTCGAAACCTGGGGGGTGAAGAGACCGATCTATACAAAGATCAAGATGTTCGTCATTAATATCAAAAGTGTTTGCTCAATAAGTCCCAAATGGTTTTTTTTCCATATAATTGAACAGTGAAATTAATGAAGATTCGTGGTTGGCATTAGAATGGAATTCAACTATCGGCAACTATCAGTGGTTAAATGGACGAGTTCTAACAGAGTTGAGATGGGGAACAGGAGAACCGAGTAACTATACTGTAGCTGATTGTGGTGTGATGAATGTATCTTCTAGACTCTGGTATACTCTACCCTGTACAGACAGTAGATATTATCTATGTGTTGGATCAGATAGAAGTAAGTAGTTCTTTCATTTATTTTTAATTCTATCATCTACATGTCCATAATAACAAAATATGATGCTCGTTGAACCCTGAAAAGATTTACGCTAGAACGCGATTGTTAGAAGAGAGTTGTCAGATCATGGATGGCGGGGTGACACCCTTAATGACTCCATAATGAACATTTTTCTTCAAATCATGTCCAGGCAAAATATGAGTCGTGGAATCAAGTTGCAACAATTCATATTTAACAATCAAATCACTGTGGCAAGGTGATTGTTTAATATCCCTAAAACTTTATGGTCGGAGTATTTCATTGGTTGAATATTTCCAATGCCTACAGTGTGTGTGGCATGATATTTTCTAGCCAGTTCATGGCAAATCTCATAGTAAATGCGTTTTTCGTAGGTACTACCAGTGTTGATTTCTACACAGCAGTTCTCAATTGTCAATCTGAAGGCAGACGACTTCCGGTAGCCATTACTAATCTCGATACAAACTGGTTGAATGATAACACTGAATCTATGTGAGTATTATCATACTTGACAATACAGAATATAAATCGTTAAATATTGCTGGAATATGATATGAACGTTTCTGACCATTTCTTGCTTTTAACAAGTTTCTTCAACACATTTGTAAATCATACGAAACTATGTATCACACATCATACAAGTGTTATTTCCACGTAAGAATCATACGTAGTTTCGTATTTAAGTACGGGTTTCCCCTTTCGTATGACAACGCATGTTTTGATTGGTTAATATCCCCCGCCTCATTATAATGGCTAAAGAAATTATGGCACATTCTATTTTACATGATACGATGGCGTCGTAAAGACAACGTTGTACATTTGATATCGATATGGCTATTTTTTATGGCAATTTAGTTCTTTTTTTACAGGACGCATGATATCTGGCTTGGTTTGATAGAATATGATGATTACTATAGATGGGTAACAGGAGAACACCTTACACCACCTTACCACTGGAAAGACAGTTACCGATATATTAGAGTCCACTACCATTATAGTGGAAGTGATAGTAGATATTTTCACTGTTATGATACACAAACAAGACAATATGTCTGTCAACCCAAACCTACAGACCCTGCAGGTAGGCCAAGTTTTGGTTTCAATTTTTCAAAAAAAAACCCATTTTTTCTCGAAACGTCAGGCAGTTTGTGTTAAAAATTGTGGTCACGTTGACTACATGTATTTGTGGCTACTGACAATGACAATGCCATTGAGATTTTGACGAGGAATTTAAAACAGCTTGTATTTCTTAGTCGTTCATTCTATAAATCTGTAATTAGGTGCAAATGTGGAAGTTCATAGTCCCTACCCTCCCATGGAAGAATTTAATACAGCTGGTATTTCAAAGTCCTTTATCCTAAAAACTGTATTTGTTGAGGTTATGCCTTATATTCAGAAATGCAATCTTCAATTTCCAGTTAAAGGGAAATAACTCCATTTTACATTTCAGTTGTGGTCCGTAGTTCAGATAAGTTTGTGTTCGTGTCCAACAATGCTATGGTATTGGGTTTCATCAGAAAAACTACAACCATCAACTCTTTAAGAAGATTTCAGTGTGCTCTAGAGTGTTTACAAGATACTGGTTGTATACAGTATACTATTCAAGGTTATCTGTGTAGAACATTTGGTGAAAGTCTGGTCATCACCGACTATAGTCGAGGACACATGTTGTGGCAAAAAAAAGTTATATCTTAATTTATCAGACCGAATCAAAGCCTTTAAAAGCCTCTTAACTGGCTACAAAATAAATTTTTGATTTTATTTAAAGTTGCTGTTAATTATAGTCGTCTTAATATTTCTTTACCAGCTGATAGGGCTCCCATTACTGCCTGTGTCATTAAGTGCACAAATCCGTGACAATCTTCATTGTATTCAGATAGTGAATTTACTAAACGCATATCCGTTCAATACTACCATCTTCATGATTTCGGGATATTAAAATTTACTAACCGCATGTCTGCTCAAGGTTACATCTCAGAAACTGCAGGTAACAAAAGAGTTATATATGTATCATATCAATGTAGTCTGTAGTCCAACAGCAGTATCCAAGGGAAGCAGCATTCTGACAGGAGGACTCTGGTATATCTTAACGTGATATGTAGTCCAACTACAACATCCAAATGGAGGTGACTAGCAAATCAGACGGATGTTCATGCTTTTTATTTCGTGTCTGAAAACTATAAAAAAAAAGCCGCAGTCAGTACTTTCGAGATGTCATTTTACCTGAAAAGAAGGAAAAACAAACAGTTTCAGTAAATTTTCAGCTGTGGTCCATAGTCCAGACAACTTTTTATTGAAAGGGATATAACTTCACTTTATACTTCCATTTTTCACTTCAGCTGTGGTCCGTAGTCCAGATAAGTTTGTTTTGTTTTGAAAGGGATATAACTCCACTTTATACTTCCATTTTTCACTTCAGCTGTGGTCCGTAGTCCAGATAAGTTTGTTTTGTTTTGAAAGGGATATAACTCCACTTTATACTTCCATTTTTCACTTCGGCTGTGGTCCGTAGTCCAGATAAGTTTGTTTTGTTTTGAAAGGGATATAACTCCACTTTATACTTCCATTTTTCATTTCAGCTGTGGTCCGTAGTCTCGATAAGTTAATGCTAGTGTCCAACAATGCGATAGTATTAGATTCCCCACGAAGAGCCACGTCCATCAACCCTTTAAGAAGATTTCAGTGTGCTCTAGAGTGTTTACAAGATACTGGTTGTATACAGTATACTATTCAAGGTTATCTGTGTAGGAAATTTGGTGAAAGTCTGGTCATCACCGACTATAGTCGAGGACAAATGTTATGGCAGAGAAAAGTTATATCGTAATTTGAAACATATTTTCTATCTATCTATCTATCTATCTATCTATCTATCTATCTATCTATCTATCTATCTATCTATCTATCTATCTATCTATCTATCTATCCATCTATCCATCCATCCATCCATCCATCCATCCATCCAACTGCCTATCTATCCGACTAACTGTCTATCTAACTATCTATCCGACTAACTATCTATCTAACTATCTATCCGACTAACTACCTATTCTTCGATATATTTTTTTCATTTTATGAATACGTTTACACAAACATGGTTAATTGAAATGCTTGTAATAAATGGCTTAACAAACAACATGGTGTTTTTTACGCCCAGAGGCCGAATTTTCGAAAGGATATTTGAGAGTGATATGGTTAAATGTGTGTCCTTTCAGATAACAACAACCAATAAATAGCCCTTGGTTAGTTTTGTATTATGTATTGGTAAAGATATACGAATCAGCTTATCTCAATACGCTGGTGACATATTTACAGCGGAGGCGACTTGAATAATAAGGAAGGATGACTTATTCAATACCCATTTACAACTGGGTCGACTGGATTAACGAGGAAAGGTGACTTATTCAATACCGGTGCCCATTTACAGTTGGGCCTACAGGAATAATGAGGAAAGATGACTTATTCCATACCCCATTAGTGGACTGGAATAATGATGACAAAGATCTTCGACTAAATATAAATATACCAAATTTAGCAAAAATGACTTATTCCAGGTCACAAATATTTCAAAAGCCGATCGAATTGATAACGCTAGCAACGAATACCCCACAACTAAATAAAATATGTAGCTTTGTTACTTGTGACCTATCTGCAGTGAATCTAACACAGTACTGATGGGGCAGGATACACGCGCTGGCACCTCACCGAATCACATCGTCACGTGATATGCTCATGGCAGTACTACTGTACTACTGTATAACCAATGTAGAAGTTGGCCTAATAACATTATAAACTGGGTAGCCTACAGTACATGTATAATATAACTATTCCACAGTTGAATGCCTGCCTGGTTAGCACAGAAGCATGTATTATAGTCGATGTTTATAAGTAAAAGTGTAGTATAGTTTTGAGTGATTCAATAGACTTCTGTCAACGTTTGTATGCATGCTTATCAATTATAACTGCATGGGTACCATTTCGATTTCCTACTCGACGTTTGTGTGTGGTTCCTGTAAAGTTACAGGGAAAACTTGAGCAATTATGAAATGATTTAGGAGAGGTCTTCCAACGTTTGTTTATCAATTATTGGTTTTAATCATTCTGTTTTCTTATCCGACGTTTGTGTGTGGTTCCTGTTACTTTCCAAAAACGACTAAAAGAAAAATTTTGAATGCTTATAAGTACCCCGAGCTTTAAAGTGAATGTTGTCTTAGAGTTGCATGAATAAATATTAGTATACCACCAAAACACAGAACAAACAGTAGGCGATATTTGAAATTCTTAAATTGTATTGGGCTTAGTGCAAATTAGAAGTTGGCCATGATCAAAGCACTTCGTTTAAAGCTGGATTTACCTGGTCACAGTTAAGGATATTCCAAAATACAGCATCATTTTGGGTAAGAGTATTTGAAGAAAAAGTTATGAAGACCTTTCGCGGAGTTCTATATATAGTAACAGCTGTCTTCATTATTGGTGTTGTTTACTATCTTGGTCTTGACGGCACTACAATAATATCGGTAAGAAGATTTGCTTTGATTACCAATGTGTGGGTGCATATTAAATGAGCCTATTCACTCTCAAGTTTTGCTTAATTTGTGGGTGCATTAGTGGCGTTTCTAGAGGGGATTAAAAAAAGGGGGGGGGGGGGGGCAGTGTAATGCTTGACCGGATTTGCATTCCCACCATCTATCTCCAAATACCTCGTGCTGTTTGAGTCGTTAACGATTCTGTGGACCCCATTCGGCCCCTCTATCTAATGGTTCTTAGAAACGCCACCGTGTGTATACTAAATGCCCTTTTCATTGTGTACTGAGATTTGTATACAAAGGCATTTTTGTAAGGCATCAACATCATAAAAGTACTAATCGAGGCATATGAGACTACTAGAGCAAGAGCTAATCAATTGATAGTTCGATCCAATAGTAAGAAATTTTTTAGTGAAATGTTCGTTTCTTTCAGTCTCCAAGATCACGATATAAAGAAATCTCCAACTGGATTCTACAGAGAGAAGGTGCACCTGGAAACAGTACTATTTCATACATAAAAACAAATGGTATTGAAACGTACTTGTTGTCAGCCGTCGTCAGACCTAGGACAGATCAAACTTTTCAAATTATACTCAATTCTTTAGACTTTACTAAAGGAAGAGGTGACTTTTTATGTTGTTTGATTTCTGAAACATCTTTGATTACTATACCAGCGAATTTTCAATTTATATATCGCCATTTGAAATTCATGCCCGCTATCACTCAGACGTTTTACCCTGCCCCTTATGACGCCACTCAATATTCCTGTGACGTCTCTAAAACTGATTTAGGAAACCCAGTGACGAAGGCTACCCTGGCATTAAGAAGTAGCTGCAGCAATGAGAATAAAGATTATCTCTCGGTTGTGTACCCAAAACGTGTTTCTAATGGTTTAGCCATATGTGCTAAGGTTATCTGTGGAGAAGAAATTGGACCAGCTCGACTTACTGAGTGGTTTGAAATTCAAAAACTATTAGGAGTGGATAAGATAGTGTTATATGACTATAAATGTCCGCTGTCAATTCAAACTATATTCCAGTATTATGTAGCAGAAGGAATTTTAGATGTGGTACCGTTTTCATTGCCAGGTCAGCTTGATTTTAAACATACAATTTCGTTTCTGATGACGCTATTTTTAACCAATCAAAGCTCCCGTTTCTCAATTACATTGACAAATTGTGGGATCGCAAAGCCCAAAGTGGTGCAATTTGTTATTGTAATCAAGAAATGTTTGCTAGATGACACCTTTGATTGGTTAAAAATAGCGTCATTAGAAACGTGACAAACGGAAGTTTTTTGAGATTATGATGGAGACTAAAATATTAGAAATGTTTTAATGAGACTTAATAATTTTTTCGGCATTCAAGGTTTATATCTGAATGAAATTAAGAATTGATAATAACAAAATAAAGTGCACTGGAAAAATCTCTGACCAAAGATTTTAAGTAATTATTTAAAAAGGCAATTTAAACTATTTTTGAATAGTTACACTTGTTTTGTTGTATAGTTATATATCAATTAAGTCCATTGATGAATATAACATACTCTTATTGGCAAAGTTTTATAACTTAAATTTATCTGTTCATTCTAAGTGGTGACTTTCCTTAACAATCATTTCCTTGTTTTATAGGTAATCCAGAACGTGGATACACAGCAAACAATCGAGTGTATCCCCAGTTTTATCATGATGAAGAGATCACTGTAATGGACTGTCACGAGAGACTATCGGGGTACCAATATATTCTAGTTTCCAATATAGAAGATATTCTACTTCCTCGACAGCATTTAACTGTTAAAGATCTTCTTAAGGTGAGTGTGCGCAATAATAACAAGTTTAAAGGGACAGATTCGCCATTTTAGAATTTGGGTTTTGAAGATATGTAAATAGTCTCCAGAACTACTAGAAATGTACGATAATCGCATAATTCCTTCAAAAATATCCCAAACTAGTTATTTCACTAACTCAAGAAATGACAAGTCTAACAACTTCTCTATATAACTTTCGTCTGATTTCGCCAGCCAATCACATTTCTTCCTTCTCCAACGTTGGGATTTTGTGACGCGAACAAAAAATATATCCTGAGGAGCATTAGTCTTGTTTATCAAGTTCACTGATGTAAAAATACAAAAATTAAAATAACTGATTTTTCTTTCAGAATTTATCTGAATCGCACCCACAGGCTGGTGGGTTCTATTTCCAAGTCCAATATCATGTAGAAGAATGGGGAAATGATCTTGAAGTTCCTGACAGTTATTTTCAGCAATATCTGAAATCAACGAAACCAACATCACAATTTTTGAAATATATTTATATACCTAGTAGATCTCAGTCACCACCTGATGACAGATTCAAAAATATTTCACCTTTCCATGAGTAAGTCTTCTATGATATCATAACTATTTTCTGTTTTCATTACGCTGGTACCTTCATCATCTGATAAACAAGAATAGTTATTGACAGAGTCGTGGGTGGCCAAGATATCTCAGTTCTGAACAGGGTAAAGTATCAAAGAGATTTCGTTTCAAAGAAGGCAAGATATCGCGATTTTCGAGTAAAAACATGATTTTTAAAGCAGTTTCTGGGAACAGTTTAATACCCAAACTGCCACTTCCGATCTTAATTTTAAACCAACTTGTTTTGAAGTTTTGAGAGCGACCTTGACAGTGGAAACTGGATTTGGGAATTTTCATTTCATCAATTTACCCAAGTAAAGTAGTTGTAGTGGTAACACATCGCATAATGGATCAAAAACTTTGCTACAGGAAGTAGTGGAAACGAAATCCCTCTTGGGGGTTTTCAATTTTTTCTGTACTCGGAATAAATTTCATAGAGATCACAAATTATATACATTTTATTTATCTTATAGGCAGTATGTAGAACCATCACTAGCTACCATACATCACTATGGAAAGTGCCCAGAAGGTTTGAAAGATTGTTTTCCAGAAACAATGGCGGACAAAACAGTGACTAAATATCAAAAAATGTTGTTAAACAATACTCGGACAGTTTTATAAAAGCTTGATATCCGACCTTAAAGTGCCGTGAAAGGAGGTATTCGTCTATTTCTATTGCTGCTTTTTGAATTTAGAAACACCTGTAATTAATACCACCCTCCATTGAAGTTTGTGCGAAAATAAACAATTTTATTTAACAGTTCAAATGTTATTAATATCATAACCTTGAACGAATATCCGGTTAGTAAATTTGAATATCCCGATATCATGAAGATGGTAATATAGAACGGATATCCGAAAAGTAATTTTGAACATCCGGGTATCATTAACATGATCTTGAACGGATATCCGATTAGTTAAATTTTTTAATCCCTAAAAAATCGAGATGTAACCTTGAGCGGACATCCGGTTAGTAAATTTGAATATCCCGATATCATGAAGATGGTAACATTGAACGGATATGCGGTCAGTAAATTCACTATCTGAATACAATGAAGATTGTCACGGATTTGTGCACTTAATGACACAGGCAGTAATGGGAGCCCTATCAGCTGGTAAAGAAATATTAAGACGACTATAATTAACAGCAACTTTAAATAAAATCAAAAATTTATTTTGTATCCAGTTCAAAGGCTTTTAAAGGGTTTGATTCGGTCTGATAAATTAAGATATAACTTTTTTTTGCCACAACATGTGTCCTCGACTATGTCGGTGATGACCAGACTTTCACCAAATGTTCTACACAGATAACCTTGAATAGTATACTGTATACAACCAGTATCTTGTAGACACTTTAGAGCACACTGA